ATGAGAGTTTTCTATGTGTTCATCAGAAGCGCGTACTTGTCTGACAATAATACATGGTTCAAGTCGTACGGCAATTCCTTCTCCAATACAATATCGTTATTATAGCCTTCAATGTAWATCACTTTGGTTATAACTCAACATTTTCAACTACCAGAATTCACTTTTATTGTGGATGATACCTTTGTTATTGTTACAAAATAGTAAAACAATTCATTTGGAACTGACTACTTTGCAGAGCATTCTGGTAAAATAGTATCTGATGACGTCATGCATAATAATTGTCATMTCCTACGTTACACTCCTTTTCACAKCGTTCCCTAGTTTGAAAATTGTTAGCGTTGCCTTCGCAACCTCCATATATGAATTTCTGGCATGATTTGRTTTTTGGATCGTAATAATAACTAGGGATATATCCGTCACATGATCCTGRGTCTTTTGGAAGGAAACAAAGCGTTCCTGTGAAGAGATAAAAATTATATTAATAGAGAATTTTAGATACGCGTTTACGGCGAACGACAAACGTCAAAACTAATCACGTGATCACTGCTTTTYCGTATAAACGATCCGTTCTTTTGCGTTTGTGTAAAAAATAGATAGCTTTTTCGTGCATAAGCGCGTCGCTATTCCATTCGAAGCGTTTTTACGTTTGCTTTAAATTTTGAGGCAAAGCATAAAAGATAATTTGACGTTTGGCGTTTGCAGTGAACGTGAATCTAAAACTCTCTAATGTTTTCTATGGTATTATGGCTCTGGAAGATGAAAAGGGACCCTTGTTTGCTTTTCTCGACTATTTATTTCTAAGAAGCAAGTTGTTTGATGCATTCAGCTGTGAAATCGTATTCAGCATATCCATGAAGCCATAAAATCTCTTGTATCTAGCTTTTGTGTAATTTCTTAATTGAAAAGCGGTTATAATCGATGTACTATCCAAACCTTTGCAGCGTTTTTCGCACTCTTCAAGGCTTTTAAAGTTGTTTCTATTCCCATGGCAGCCACCATAAGTAAAYAGCTCGCAGAAACCTGTATTCTTGTTGTAGAAAAACCTGTGAAGAGCCGCTTCGCAAGGACCCGGTTYACTGTGTAGGGTACACTCTATAGCAACAACCACAATGATAAAATATTGTCAATAAACTCAGAAGCATGATTAATGACTGTATATAATGTAATTTGTTTTTTTCAGGATTCAAAAGATCTTCACATTGAAATTATGTTTTAGTTTGGKTCCACACAGTTGCTTTTTTAACGTCGGTCGGCAGTGATTAAAAAAAAGCAAAAACAATTAAAAAAAGCACACTCAGTTGTTAGATTTCTAGCAACTAATACACCCTAGCGAATCTTTGTTGTTGCGACATAAAAAGGACCCAATAATCAATTTTCTCTTAGACTGGATCTCTATTTTTTATCCAGTCTAAAGTACAATATGTTGTTTTAATTAACAATAAAATATCTCAAACCTCCACACAAGGCGTCACACTCTTCATAAGTCTCAAAGTTGTTGGAGTTTCCTTTGCAACCGCCGTATACGAATTCCTCGCATTTTCCTGTTTCTTTATTGAAATAAAATCTGTTGGTCCTTTCCTTACAAGGGGAACCACTGTTCTTTGCTAGCGAACAAATGCCCATGGAAGCAGCTTCATCGAGGAATGCAGTAATCCCTTGAATAAAAAACTAAATAATAGTAATAATACAATAATACAATAATATAATAATACAATAATACAATAATAACAATGACTTCACTACACTACAAAACGATACTCTGTTACACAATTCTAGTATAAAAAGGACTTTATATGTTAAAAAAAAAACAAAAATCAACTCCAAGTTGTTTTGAGGRACATTATAGTTAGATTTGAACTTAWTTTCAATGTCCAAATAGATCCCACGTCTCATAAAATCGGTTTCATTGAAACGAAGCAAACTAATTATTATGACAAAAAGTGATATAAAATTCTTACCACATACGRCAAAAGCTGTAAGGCTRAACAAAGAAACAATGCAACGTGAAGAAGAACGGTATTTCATTGTTTAACCAATATGYTCTTTCTCCAGCGTGATCAAAACATCAACCTTAGCAACTGACAAACGACCTGTCTAGCCTATTGTTATTTTCCGTACCCACAATCCTTTTCAGTGTGCTTTAATAAACTTTGCTTTGGGAAAACTTCGAAAACTGTCATCACGAAATTGTAGTTAGTACAATTATGAGAACATGCAGTCTCTTTTCAAATGTCAGCGCATGCTAACTAAACTTTACGATCTTAGTGTCTCTCTTGATTGTAGGAGATTGGAAGACATGGGAAGATGTGCGGACAAAGGCGGCAGAAAGAGTGGAATGGAGAAACTCTATAAAGGCCCTATGTGCAACTAGACACGAAGAGGAAGATTGATTGTAGGAGATGCAATGCCACATAGTCAGATATGAATTTAACAGGTCAAGCTAAGGAAAGTGCCATGTGACATGAAGTGCATAACGCTAATATAGATCGACTAGTATTGTACATCACCCTGCTGAGAAACACTCAATTAGGCAGTTTATAGCCTGCGTAGCGGCCGAGCTCGGCCGGCCCTCCCTCAAATTCCAAGCTTGTGAGGTCAACGCGTCAACAGCGACAGTCTAATTACCTTTATGAAAATGAAAATCATGATTAAACGTTGACAACTTTTCGGTGAGACATTCAGTCATACTTGCACCAGTTAATGTTATTTTCATAAWTTTTTTTCAGTAACTCTAAAATATACAGCCTAATAGATTCATACGGCGTATCTGCCTAATATCTTTAACCGGCATTTTTATAACTAAAGATTTATTACATTTTATAACGTTTTATCATTTTACKCGATACGAAGTTTTAAAAAACCCAACGCGTAAGAAAAAACGTTTTTTGGGGTCTTTAAAGATAGAAAGTTCTCATATGAAATAAAGGGAAGCGCGCTTATGCTTGCTGTAGCAGTAGAGGGTACTATTAAGCAAGGTATTACGGTGCTATACACCCTTTTAATAAGTCCCAAGGTATTGTTTTCTCCGCACTTGACGTCAAATTTATTCTTTTGAGATTTTTACAATACAAAAGGAATTCAAAAGAATAAATTTGACGTCAAGTGCGGAGAACGTAATACCTCGGGACTTATTAAAAGGGTGTATATTCAAATGCATCTAGCATTCTGCAACCGTTTGAATTAATCTCTCTGCTATCAATAGTCGTCAWGATTATAGTCATTAAAAATTAAGATTTTTTATTTGGAAACTGTCATAGCTCACATTATTTTCATTTATATTTGAAATAAAAATGTGAATTGTTCTGTGGTATTTATTGGTACTTATAATTATTTTAACAAATATCTAGAAATACTATTGATGGATATTTTGCTCGGACCCAGTGCTATTCTCGTCTTTTTATCGGGTCAAAGACAATTATAATAAGTACCTCTTACAAAAACAATTCTTGCGACGCTATAAAATTAGTTAAAAATGCGATCACATCCTTTTTGTCGCTCAAAATAGTGATAAACTGAGAAAAAGAAAAGGAAAGTGAAGTGTGGTGTCAAAAGGGTTGATGAGTTGCCAAGGCGTCTCTTTAACAATTAGATCTCGGGGGCGAGTGGACTAAAAATAAAAAAAAATAAAAAATAAAAGTTTAACAGAAAATGAATGAAATATATAAATAACTAAATGTTTTTCTTGCTAAAAATATACAAAAAGTTGTCRCTTTTTGCTAGTCGAGGACTATTAAAAATAGACTCCGACTAGCGTAGCCAATCAGAACGAAGGATTTGCAGTAGTCCACTAGTATGGTAATACTMAAAGCTGGTAATCAAAAACTGCTATTTCTACTTTAACTAGGCTTAAATATTCTATTGAAAAAAGGAAAAGACGAATTTGGTTTGAAGTGCATTAAGTAATGTTAAGCCGAGTAGTAGACTATAGTTCGTGGTAAATCCAGCTATTATTGACAGTAAATGATATTCGCAGGGTATTTTAACGGTATATCAAAAACATTAAGCGATAAATGAAAGTACTCCATTTATTATACTCTCAAAAAAACAACAACTAACAAACAAACAAACAACAACAACTCCAACAAACGAAGAAGAGAGAACACGAGACAAGTGTGGACACCACAACACGAACCATTGAAAATCTGCACCAGCATCTCATAAACACGGTTTAAGCGAAGCTTGAAAATAAAAAAAGACTGATTACAAAAATAAAAGYTATCTAGCACTTAATGTTAGCATAAGTCAAGCGTCATATAAAGCAAAAATACCTTAGCTGTCATAGCTGCTTTAAATCCGCTCTGCAAGAATCGGAAATTCTTCTCCCTTGTATATCAACAAAGCTCAATTTGGAGACAGTATTCTCATCCTAAAGTAAATTTCTCATTTTTTTAATCAAAGAAATCCTATACAAAACAATCTTTGACGATATTTTATTATCTCATTTTCGTTAAAAATAGTATTAAAACTTCACTGAAATCCAATCCTATAACAACACGAAAAATCAATTCCATATTCAACCTAAGATTTGTCACTTAATCTACCCATATTAGATAGCTTTCATTCTATTATATATATCTGTCCTGGGATTGGTGTACATTAGGCAATGCAATTGCACAGGATCGTCCGATATGGCACAAAGTTACAAAATAACACTATATAGTATTTTTGTTGTTTTTKCCTTTTGTGCGGTTTTTGCTGAACAGAAGCAAACTTTGTCAGAAGCAATTTTCGCACAGGTTTGTAGCTTCAGAATGGCATTGCATTGTAATAGAATATTTCATTAACTCAATCTTTTTAATTTTTTTTAGACTTTTTTGAAACGATATCACTACCTTTCACCATTGAAATCYGGAAACCATGACTGGAAAACCGCACTTCAATTGTACCAAGCCTTCATGCATCTACCAGTGACTGGYAAACTCGACGATGCAACATTTAAGGAGATGAAGAAACCAAGATGTGGWTTTCCTGATATGGAGGAAGATAGAGAAGGCACAGGTTCGATTTCTTTAAAAAATTCTGGAGATCTCGCAGGAATTCGGTGGAGTTCCGCTTCGATTTTATCTAATTCGATTGGTCAATTTCTGACTAAATACCATCATGCATGAACAAAATGGCCGCGGAGCACCATAGCTAAGAAAAAATGGAATAGCATCAAGTCGATTTTCAATGGACCGACACAGGGTTCACGCGCGTACGCACGTTTCTTTCCGTCCTTCCTTCCGGCGTCCGTGTACCACCACTGAAAAACCATACTCCAAAAGCGACAAAATATTTGTTGAAATAATCATTTTCTTATCTTAATAGGAGCAAGATACTTAGACTAGACAATACTATTTTCTTTGACAAAGCAGGCAGTGCGTGTTAATGGTGTAAAGTTATCAAATGGATTTTGCWTGACTAGTTTCGCTTATCTCAACTTCTGCAGTCTGACTTGAAATTCAAATTTTGTTAGAATAGCCGAGTTGCGAATTTTGCTTTAGTAGTCACACAAAAGGAATCAAGACAAACAATAGTTTTTCACAATCAACTGAGCTTTACGCACAGCGCCTCGTCTTGATTCTAGGAGGAGCCGACGGGGTCTGTTCTTCTAAATAACTGTTCTTGTACGAATTTTTCCTTGGGAAGGGGATCTTCAGCTACGTTATTGACAATGAAAATGTGGCCCCTTCCTTCTTTAAAATAACATTCTTCCTGGCAAACGTTTTTTAAGGTCAAAAAAGGGTTATATAAACGTTTTCATGGTCAAAGACGGCCTATCTTTTTTTTAGCTAAGAAATTTTTATTTTTCTGGAAAAAATTCTTACAAAGTATTCCTTGACTGGCGAGTTATTTTTCCTTGAATTTCTCGCTGGCAACCAGTTGTGACTTACAGCTGGCTGGGACATAAGAACAGATATATTT